CCTTTAGTGAGTCCAATTACTTCCAAATGCTTATGGTCAAATGTTCTTAATTTGGATAGGCTTTAGGACTTTCACCTGCTCCAATCCTACCTCGATTTATTAGAAAGATTCGTTGACATTGCTTCAATTCAAGTATATCTAATCAACCAACTTGACGTTTTTGCAATTTATAATTCTAGATGTTGAACCTTTTTATTAACTTTGCACACGTTTTTTTTTAAGGTGATTAATTAATCTAATCGTTTGTTAATTCACATCCGTAAATAAAGGATACTTTGACTAATTATTCTTCAATGAGTTTGTAAAAATTTTCATTTATAAAAGGAATTAATAACTGAAATCATGACGACATTGATTAGATAATCAACCTATTGTTTTTTGTTTTAATTTTTATTTAATAAAAATTTCACCTAAAGTCTTTCTTTTAAAATATGAAATGAAAGATAGAGGATACATATCAACAATTGAAAAAGGAAAGATAATATTATTTTCAAACGAGTAACATCCAATCCAATATTGCTCTTCAACTGCTAGAAGTTAAATATATCAGTAAATGAAAGTTGGATAATTAAAGTCGATATGCTCAATCAACACCTAATCCAAAAAAAAAAAAAGGAACACTGAAGCCGGTGATGTTATGAGCTTCACTTTTCTTTGTTTACTTATTACAAAAAATAATGATAAATTTGTAATCTTCTAATTTTCTATGGTAAGAGGAAACAAATATAATTAATTACCTAATTGGTTTCATGATGTAAGCAAAAATTTTCTATGTTCTAAATATAGACATGTTTAAGCTTAATTAGTATATACTTAGTAATTAATTTAGCATGAAAGTTAATGAACTTGAAAATAAAAATCAATTGAGACTTGCATTCCTTATTTTATGCTATTAGCTTTAAAAAGTGACATTTAATAAGTATAGGTTTGTTATAACTAATCATTTAATTAATAAGATCAACTTTTAAGTTTATCAAGTCTGTATAACTTCGATTGTTATGTACTACTAAGGAGAATCGACATTTAGATTCCTCATTACACTACAAGCTTGTTCTCTACTTACTTGCCTACTAAAACTTCCTCACCCATAAAAAGAGATCGCCCACTACCCCATGACGTCCCATCACACATCATTTTACAATAGATCAACTAGCTTTTAATTTGCTTATAATCATTAAATGCAATCTACTTTGACTTGAAATTATTAAATATAGTTTATACTCACCCACATAGAGTGGATCCTCTTTGAGCTTCACATAAACTTTTCATTAATTATCACTAATTCTTATCACATCATTGCCCGTTGTCTTATATATAAGGTAAAAAAAAAAGTTTAAGTATGTAGATTCTAAACCCATTATTCTTTAAGCTTCTTCCATACTCTTTATAGTTTACCTTCCTCCCACCAAAAACTATAGGAACATTCAACTAACTTCAACGTCAAAACGTGTTTTGAAGACAAATTTTGATGTGCCCTAATTGTGCCTTTCTTATTGCAGGTCTAGACCAGCCCAACTCACCTCCATCCAAAAATACTATCAATAAAGTTTAAATTCTAATTCCTATAATATTTTTATTTCTAAGTTATGGTTTCTTTTATATATAAAAAATTGTATTTGTCACTAATACTTAATAATTTACTTGAATGTTTCAAGAATGACTTATTCATCAAAAAATCTAAAGAATTCTATAAAGTAGAGGCGTTTGGTTTAGAAGAATTTGAGATTTTCTTCCAAAATCTTGTTTGTAGATACAGTAATCAAAAATCTCAGAATCAAAAACTTACATATCTTTTTGATTTTTTTAAAATTTTGAGAGAAAAATTAATTTTATCTTACTTTTGATCTGAATAAATTTTTTTTTTTTATCCTTTTAAAAATCAACGTATTATAAGAAACTTTATTTTTTTTACAAATGTTGTAATGAAAAAAAATAACACAAATATTATGTTTGCTAAAAACTTAACATAGTATTCAAGTAGTAATTTTTTTTTTTTACTACTTGAATATTGCGTTTGTATGCTTTAAAACGCAATACTTGTTATTATTTACTACATTTCTTTTAATAGAAACGTAGTATTTGATTTATATTTAATTTTTTAAATATTTTTTATTCAAATATTACATTTTTTGGGTTTGAAATGTAGTATTTATTATTAATTATTGTATTTTTTGAACAAAAACATAATATTTAACAACTTATAAATTTTTTGCGTTTTTCTCATTTGAATACTGCATTCAAAACTTTAAAACGCAATAATTATGATTATTTATTGCGTTTTTGTTTAAAGAAACGTAGTATTTGACCTGGTAGTCCTCCACTAATACAATACGAGAGTGGGAGAGTAGGTAACAAATTGGGTTGTGAAGCAAGATTAAAAAATTATTAGTGATGCCAATTGTTAAGTCTTCCTCCACCAATTTAACTAACGTGTCATTAAGTAATTTTATATTATTTATTTTTTATGATTTGAATTTGCTGCCAATGCTTATTCTATTTGATAATAATGCATATGGGTCTTTGATTTTTATCTCATTATTTCTTTATTTTTTCCATAATTATTTATGTTCGTTTATTTTCTATTTCACGTTTCTTTGTTCTTATATTCTTATTTATATTTTTTTGGATTTTAATTTTTTTCAATTTTAATTATGTTGAACAATTTTGCTATTAGTTCTATTATTTGAATGATAATTTTGTACAATAATTAAGATATTATATGTTTTCTTATAACTTAATTTACATGAAACAAATAATCAAATGCTGCGTTTATTTGAAATTAAACGTAATAATTATTCATTGTAATTTTTTTAAAACATGTAAAAAGCTCAATTAATATATTTTTTTAAAGAAACAAATAATTAATTATTGTAATTTGTTTAAAATAATCAAATATTGTGTTTTTTTAAAACTAAATACAATAAATGTTCATTATAATCTTTTGAGAATAATTTATTCTTGCGTTTCTTTGAAGTTAAATACAGTAATTATTCATTATAATTTTTTAAAAAACATGGGTATAATCAATTACTGCATGAAATTAATGTAAAAATCTGATGACTAATTTTTTTTAATAATTGGACTCTCAAATACTACATTTTTGTGATTTGAAACACATTATTCGTCTATTATTTTTATTAATAAATTATTATATTTGTTATGTAGTGAAAGATATTATAGTAAAAATACATGATTAAATAATTTGACTTTTTTTTCAATCAAATATAAGAATCTAACAATCTTATGTCATATAAAATTACCTATTGTCGAGAATTCATATTTTTTCGATGATCATATTTTTTTTTGGAATCTAAAATTATACGAACCAAATTTTCACTAAAAGGTTTTTCACTCAAGGTAAATTATCCACTTTATGTCAAAGCTTCCTCTAGTTCTTCCAAAATGCAAAGGCATGCATGTGTCTAAAATCAAGCAACACATAAGGACGGCATTGTTCAAAAAAGCTTCAAACCAATAACATTTTGTATAATAATAATAATAAAACATAATTTTATTTTGTGGAAAATTTTTCAAATTTTTCATTGAAAATTGGATTATATGAATAAGCTTAACATTGAAACATCACAAACATTTTAAAAGTCTGAGTTTCATCTTAGTGAAATTTTCTCGTTAAGTAAAAAAATTTCAGTGTAAACTTTTCTTGTTGAGCTCCATAATCAATAATAATTTGAATGAACAAGTTCGAGTCCAACGTGTCCATTTAAGAACTTCCATTTAACACAAAGTTTAAAGGCCCAATTTAATTGAAATTCATTGCCTACTTTTTGGCCCAATGGGACATGAGACCACTTTCTGAAAAGATTTCTTTACCTTGGATTTTGCTTTTGCTTTTTCCAAAAAGACATGGCCCCATGGTACCTTATTCTTTGAAGATGGGAAACTTGAGAGTTTCATGGTAGGTTCCATCATTGCTGCTTCTGCCATTAATTTCCATCAAGATGTGGAGATAACATGGGGCGGTCACCATTCTCAAATACTTGGTCGTCGAGCGGATCTTCTGACGCTTACTATGGACAAGACCGCCGGTGGGTCTGGCTTTAAGTCCAGTAGAGACTATCTCTTCGGAAGGCTCAACATTCAAATGAAGCTCATTGTTACAAATTTTGTGCATTAATAAGATGCAAGAGTCTTTATAATTTCATAAAAGTGTTACCAATTTGCTTTATTCTAAATCTTGCAGTTATATATCTTAAAGACCCATGTCACAACGAAATTGATCTTTAGTTATTGGGAGCAAAAGTGGCTTTCTTTATTAAAGGTAATAATGGTTTAAATCAAATTAAATTAATTAATTTTGAATGATATATAATATTATAAATTTTAAAATTTGTTTCGAATCTGAATTAATTTTTTTTAAATCAATTTGATCTAAATTGATTTGAATTAATTTGATTCAAATTAAACTTTATCTGTTCGATTTAATTGTGTTTATTGGTTTTTAAATTTAAAATTTTTTTATTTTTTATATATTATTTTAATAAAATTTTTAATATATTTAAATAAATTTATGTATAAAATAATTATTTTTAGTTTATATAAATTTAAAAAATATATATATTAATAAAAATATATAATTTAATTCAATTTTTTTAATTATTACATTCTAATTTAAAATTTAATTCAATTTAACATATATATTTAATATTTGAATTAATTTAAACCAAATAAAAAATAGATCGATTTAAATATTATGATTTTGAATTAATTTTTAATTTTTTTGATTTTTTTTACCTCTCGCTCCCTATACTCCTGGTACTAATGTTTTCAGCCATGGACAACGGGGCAAAGGAGAAATTCCGCCTCTGGTTCGACCCAACAAAACATTTTCACACATATTCCATTGATATGGAACCCCGAATCTCATGTAAGAATTAATTTACTCTTCTTAAACTCAATTTCACGCGTCAATCTCTTTTGCATTTTTGTTAACGCAAAAGAAAAAAAAACAGTATTAAACCTATAAAAAACCAACAACCGTACCTATTATAAAGAGGAATCTCTCCGCTAAGTATTAGCCATTTATTCTGCTTATCTCCGCAGTTCATCAAGTGTCCGTGTCATGTTAATGATAAGGATGTAAACAGTCGTAGATAATTATGAAGTGCAAAATTGACATCTCGACAACAAATAAATCCTAAAAGCCACGTGACCTCCCTCCTTTAAACCCAATCTTAATCAAACCCATGAGAATTCCCTAATCCCAAATTCCACGACGAATGACGCTTTGGCTTTTGCTACTAATTTTCTAAACGTACGGCCACTACATGTACTTTGGATTTCCCAGTGAGTGAGCACAGCCAAATAGGCATGAGTGCAAGACATGGGCGGGAAGAGAGAGAAGGCTAGAAAGGGGTATTAGGGGATACCCCACACGATCTAATCAGGGGGGAATAAGAAACATTTTGGTAGTACCCACAAGGTGAGAAGAGAATCAATCATGCCATCGGGTTCTAAGAAGAGAAAAGCTGCCAAGAAAAAGAAGGAACAAGCAGCCAACGACATCAATTCATCAACCAACAACAGCCCACATGGTACTTTCCTTTGCTTTTTCTTTAGATCTTTGTTTTGAATTTTGTCTTTTGGGTGGATTTGGGATGATGGGTACTTTTATTTATTCAGTTCTTTTGATTGAATCTGACTTGGTTATCCATCTTTCAGTGCCATCGAGTTCTTGAATTATTGTGTGGAAGATTTATAGTTAAAGAAATCAGCTTGCTATGAATGTTTAATAGCTAATATAGTTTTCTAGTTCATGCCACTGATTAATTGATTTGGTTGCTTTTCATTGGGATTGTCGTCCTTTAATCACTGACTGTTTAGTTTAAGTGTTTTTTCTTTTTTTTTTTTTTGTTGAGATTTTCTTGTTTAATGGTCTTTTGGCAATTTTGAGCTTGTTCGGGCCTTTACTTGATTTTGACCAGAATTCTTATCATTGAATGAACTTGTCTATCCAATTTCAAGTTATATTCCGGTTCCTCTTGATTTTAGTTGCTATATTTTCATTGAATTTGATTGAAAATAATTTTGATTTAATCAATTTAAAATTCCGTTGTTCCTCAGTTTTTTATAGTGTTTATTTTGGTCGTTTCTAGAGGGGATTGGTGAATTTGTTGTTTGCGTAGTGATTGGAACTATTGTGATTTTATCAAATGGTGGAACTATTGTGATTTTATCAAATGGTGGTAGGAAATGATCTGAAAAGCCAATATGAAAGGGACAGTGATGGTGGCGATGTTGGTTCCTCTGCATCTCAGGATGACCACAATCACCAGCATCCATTCAGTCAGGGGAGAGAAAATGCGACAAGAGCACCATCACCTTTTCAATCACATGGAACTGAGGAGCAGTCTGTGGAAGAAGCCACTAGATATGCAGAAAGTACTGAGAAATCGGGATTGGATGATGTTATTGCTCTTAAAATTGAAAAAGAGTTGGGACCTAAGGAGGATCTTGAGAGCACACATGTCCCTGTTCAGCATGTTGAACATGATAAGAGCTCTAGCAGTAGCAGTAGCAGTAGCAGTAGCAGGAGTAGTTCGGATGATGAATCTCAAGCCTTTGAGAAGAAGTCAAAGGAAGTGACCTCATATGGTAATGAGGATAAGTCCGCAATGGTTATGTCTGAAAAAGTTCTGAAGGTTGCTGAAAATGAAACACTTGGGGATGTTGATAGTAATTTTGCAGTGGAAACTGCCACCTTTGACAATTTGGTTAAAACTATAGCCGAGGAAGCGACTCATGCTATAGAAATTTCTGCAAACAAATCTGAATCCGATTTAGCTGAATCTGGGTTGAACGAAAGTGGAGAGAAATTATTGCCCTCATCAAATGGGATTTCTAGGGTTGAGTTGGAAGAAAATGAAGGAAAAGTTTTCCCATCCTCAGGCACTGCTATTGCTGAAAGTAGTAATGTTGCAGAAAAAACCCAAGATTCTGGGCCACATATTTATTCTGAAAAGCAGGTATATCTTTCCTCTATTCTTTTCTAAAGTTGGGGTTTGAATATTCCTTATTTAATTTGTATGAAAGTGATTTCTTGTTTATTTTGCTGAATTGGTTCACACTTCACAGCCTCTTGTTGCTTCAACTCCACCAGTGGTGCAAAGAACCTCATTGTTAAGTTGCTGTGGATTGTTTGATGTTTTTACTGGTTCTGAGAGATAATTGCAGGTTCGGATTATCCATCAAGTTAAAAAAAGTATATTATACTTCCTTTATAATTTGTCGGACTGCATTTGACATATGCTCAGTAGCTCGTATCCTGTGTGCTTGTGTGGGTACATATTGAGATTCACATATATCATGTCTGATATGTTGTATGGTTTCCTTTTAATGCTGAACCATCTGTTCATGGAGACTTGCTAAGCATGGCAGTTTGTCAAGTCACAACGGTTTTGGTTTCTAGATGTCTATTTCATTTCAAGGCTCAATGTTTTTCCTAAAGAATAATAGGCAACAGAGTGGTGGTGATAGTGCTGATGCTGATAGTAATTAGTCATTCCCAGCCTTTTTTTTTGTTCAAGAGAGGGCATAACCCTTACAAAAGGGAAAGAGATTTTGACTCGAAATTAAGATCTTTACATCCTCATAAAACCCCTTTAACCACTAAATCAAGTGTCGGACAATCGTTACCAGCTTTAAGTACATTCTTTTATTGGTTTGTGTTGGGTCAGTTGCTCTATTCATGGCTTATCCACCAATCCCCAAACCAATGACATGCTCTATATTCTCTCCTGACACTTCATACCCAAAATTTTTTAAATAATATTTTAATATATTTTTTAATAAAAAGTATACACCAATTAATAATTATTTAATCAAATGTTGAGATATTATTTTATGGATTTCATTAATTTTACATAGTTGATTTTGCTAAAGCACAAAAAGTTCATTTATTACCAAAGCCAAAAGTAAAAAATAAAACAAAATAAAAAAAATAACATGGATACGCCTATACGCTGCGTTTCGTTGACCATCAAGGCAACAACGAGTCCTCTTATATTCCTTTGGAAATTGCTTTGTTCTTCCTTTTACTGACCGTTACGAACAAAAGCAATGTCGACATCTGGGCGCATTTTTTCAAAAAACCAAACATTCAAGGGCCCATTTCACTATCTCAATCTCCCTTCCCTTATCTTCGACAAATGTTGAAAGATTCTCGCAATCTTTCGCTACAATTTCTAGTAAGCAAATTCACGTGGCCCCAATTTCTGGTAGCACAAAAATATCGGCTTGATGATGCAATTCAACTGCTCGAAAAAATGCCAGTGAGAGACACCGTTTCTTGGAATTCAATGATTGAATGGTGTTTATCGTGGGGATTTAGTTACGGCTAAGAAGCTATTCGATGAAATGCCGGGACGGAATGTTGTTTCTTGGACGACATTGGTAAATGGGTACTTGTAGTTTGGAAAATCAAGGTGTCTGAAAGGTTGTTTTTTGAGATGCCTATGAAGGATGTGTCGGCTTGGAATTCAATGAATTGTGGGTATTTGAAGTTTGTGAGAGTTGATGAGGTGGTGAGTCTGTTTCGAAAGATGCCATCTAGGAGTGTGATTTCATGGACTTCAATGATTGATGGCTGGATTATAATGGAAGGACTGATGAAGCTTTGATATTTTTTAAAATGATGAATTCAAACACGCTTTCTTGCGTGTTGACAGCTTGTGCCAATTTGATGGCTTTGCATTTGGGTGTTCAGACTAATGGTCAAATTGTTAAGTTGGGGTTCCGTTTTTATGAATTTATATGCTCTGCGCTTTTAATTATTTATGCAAACTGCAAGCAAATGGAAATTGCTTGCAAGGTTTTCAATGAGAAATTGCATGGCTATGTGGTAATATGGACAGCTCTTTTAACTGGGTATGGCCTCAATCATAGGCATGAATCTGCATTGATGGTTTTTGGAGACATGATACGAATGGCTGTCCTCGCAAATCAATCTTCTTTCACTGTTGCTTTGAATTCATGCAGTGGATTAGAGGCTCTAAAAAGGGGTAAAGAGATCCATGCTGTGGCAGTCAAGCAAGGTCTGGAATCTGACTTATTTGTTGGTAATTCTCTAATTGCTATGCATACTGTATGTGGGAACATTAGCTGCATTTAATAATGTTGGGGAAAAAATGTCGTCTCGTGGAACTCCATTATTGTTGGATCTGCACAGCATGGTCAAGGCATGTTGGCTCTGACACTCTTTAGCCAAATGATATGTGATGGAGTTGATCGGGATGAGATTACATTCACTGGGTTGCTCTTTGCTTGCAGCCATTCTGGAATGTTACAGAAAGGGAGATGCTTTTTTGAGTATAGTAGTCGATATAAATCCACTGCAATACAGCTTCAGCACTATGTATGATTTATGTCCTCCGTAGTCGTGGGAAATTGGAAAAAGCAGAGGAGCTAATTAAAAATATGCTGGTGAAAGCAAATTCTACAGTATTGCTCGCTTTGCTTAGTGCTTGTAGGATGCATTATAACTTAGGAGTAGCTGAAAGAGCTGCAAAATCCATTCTTGAACTAGAACCACATTGCAATGCTGCTTATGTCTTATCGTCTAATATATATGCTTCTGCTGGTAAATGGAGTGATGTCTCGAGAATGCGAGTACGGATGAAACAGAGAGGGAAGTGAAACAATCGGGTTGTAGTTGGGTTGCTTTAAGGGGTGTGCGACGTGTTTGTTTCTGCAGATAGGTCTCATCCTCTCAGAGAAAAATATATATAAAAAACTGGACCGGTTAGGAGGAAAGTTGGAGAAGTTTGGCTGTGTTCCAGATGAGAGGTTTGCCCTGCATGATGTGGAGGATGACCAGAATATCACAATGAGAGGCATGCCATTGCAGTTGGAATGGTGATTACCCCAGAGGGCAACACTATAACAGTGATGAAGAATCTTCACGGTGCCATTAAGCTCATAGCAAAGATAGTTGGGAGTGAGAACTGAGAACATTGTAAGAGATTCTACACGCTTTCATCACTTCCAAAATGGAATGTGCTCTTGTGAGGATCATTGGTAGCAAATTACAGAGATTTTCATATTAAAAAACATTTTGATCTTCCAAAACAATCTTTGGTTTTTGCTGGTACTTAATGATGCTCAAATGACTTAGTTGATCTTGTTATTGACAATTAAATTTGTTATTGACAAATCCGAAAAGGACAAATTCAGGTTCTTCTTGAGAAGTTTTGATGAATGGAAAACACCGCTAGTGCTATGGTTCGTGATGAAAGCAATACTAATTTGCGATTTAGTTTACCGATTACTAGGCACCAAAATTTCTGGCGTGATTCATGTTGGTTGTTCTTTAGTTTCATTGTCGGACTTATAATTTCAATACTTTCCTCTCCAATACAAAATTTGTAAGTGTGATGTCAATTCACTAAGACCAACAAAATTCTCAGTTGAGATTGTCGTTGCCATCTAAAGCAACAAAATTATCAATGTAAACAAAAAAAGGTCACTAGTAAACATAACCAATACAAGCTTATGCTCATTCATCCTCCTGGCTGCGCAGCCTGGCAAGATTGTTAATTACAACAACATCGAGCTGTTCTGCTCGTTCCACAATCTCTTCTCTTCTTCGTGGAAACATCATGGGCAATCTCAGCACAGGATGTCCTGAGAAGCAACAAAAACCGATTAAGAACACAAACATAAATGATATACATCGACAATGATTAGTCACTCATTTTTTGGGTTAACAGTACCTGTTATGCATCATCAACAGTTCAAGCTCTCCAACGTTGTGCACAACAAATTTCTTAAAGCCATTTGGAAGATAGTGACGAGTCTTCTTGTCTGAACCATAGCCAATGTTAGGCATCTAAGTGCATCCCTTGAACTTTCTTCTTCCACAAGAATCAATTCCCTTCGGTCTACACCAGTTTGTCTGTCATCAAGCAACACGATGAACATGAAAAGACAAGTTCCAAAATTTAAAATCAACACAAACAAGGACGAGCATGGAAAAGAAAACTAAAGGGGCTAAAAGAAGAAATAAAAGCAGATAAATGTTACTAGGGATTTAGTAACAGAAAGCTTGTGAGAGAAAAAAAAAAAAAGCTAACTGAGTCGCAGGACCTGTTCAAAAAATTGTATCTGCCCATAAAAACGAAATGCCCAGCTACAATACATAAAAACCGGACATCAGATACCATGGGCAGGGACCTTTCCAAGAAATTTCTCCAAAGAGCCAATAACAAATTTAAATTAACCAAGTTCAGTATAATCAATCTATTTAACAAGTGTCTACCACATTTAAATAAAGATCTGCAATCTCAGCCGAAAGATGGTGATTATTTATATAATCATCATAGATAGATCAGGTCTGATGATTCATTTCCATCATAGATTGCAGAAAATGACAGAAAAACAACACCAAAAACATGTTAAATCAATCAAAAGTTGACCCCAATTTTAAAAAATATATGCAAAAGAGATCAGATGGTAGTGCATGTTGGTATTCATCATTCAAATGCAGAAATGATGGATTAGTATCATCACACCTCCTTGCATATTTTAAAGAATCAAACCTTAAATGGAAATATATATATATATATGATAAAAAAGATTGATAATGTGGTAAAACTGGATCAGATAATAAGTCGATTTATATCACCATCTTCCATCAAGAGATGAAAGTAAGGCTGGGTGTCAAACAACAATCATCATATCCTTTCAGTTTTCTTTTTTGCAAAATAATCAGAATAATCAAATAAAGAAAAAATAATACTTTACAAGACCCCTAGAGACAAATGGATCAATAGTCGATCGCTAAAGACTCAGTATATTGCAACTCAGACTGGGTGTCAAGAACTATCTTCATATACTCATTCACTCAAATTCAGTTCGACCCAAAGAAAAAAAAAAATCAGATTTTTAAACAAAATTTTGTAAAAAATAAGGCTGAAAATAATAAAAAAGAAATGAAATGGAATCAGATAAAAATGTCAGTCACCAACTTTGCACATGAAGACATTAAATTTATGCATAGTAAGACTGGGGCGACAATAACTATCATCATTTTCCATTTTTCCAAAAACTAAAGCTCAAAATTTGAAGGCTGAAAAAGAAAAAATAATAAAAAAATTGAATGAAAATAGAAAATTTTGAACATACCTTGACGGAGATTTTGCGGTCGCTCTGGGGTCTCTTGAGCTTCTTGACCCTCTTCTTCACGATCGTCTTGCTTAGAAGCGGCACCGCCATTCTTCTTTCCTTCTTCCTCTTACCTCCTTCACCATTAACAAAGACAAACAGAACATGTTATTTAAGTTGCTGAAATACTAATGATAAAAGAAATTTGAAGAACCAAAAAGAAAGAGGGAAAGAGATGTTTACTCGGAAATTAGGGTTTTGGGTTGGCCGCCACGGATTCGCTTCTGAGG